CAGTAGCTGGGAGCGCGCCAGTAGCTGGGAGCGCGCCAGTAGCTGGGAGCGCGCCAGTAGCTGGGAGCGCGCCAGTAGCTGGGAGCGCGCCAGTAGCTGGGAGCGCGCCAGTAGCTGGGAGCGCGCCAGTAGCTGGGAGCGCGCCAGTAGCTGGGAGCGCGCCAGTAGCTGGGAGCGCGCCAGTAGCTGGGAGCGCGCCAGTAGCTGGGAGCGCGCCAGTAGCTGGGAGCTAGAGGGAGCTGCGACAGTAGCTGGGAGCTAGAGGGAGCTGCGACAGTAGCTGGGAGCTAGAGGGAGCTGCGACAGTAGCTGGGAGCTAGAGGGAGACAACTAGCTGCAGATAACATTTACGTTGTTTGTTTTTCCAGCACGGTTCTGGACAAACGGGACGTAGGCGCTCACAGGAAGGTGATCGACGTCCAGTCCCCGGTGGGGATCTCTGTGGACTGGATCTACAAGAACCTGTACTGGTCCGACCTCAGCACCAAGACCATTTCTGTGGCCAACTTTAACGGAACCAAGCAGAAGGTTCTGTTCAGCAGAGGCCTGATAGAACCCGCCTCCATCGCCGTGGACCCCCTGTCAGGGTGGGTGGCAGAACCACCTGATACCGGTCCCGGCTGGGGTCGGCCCGGTCCCTTTGGTTAGTCACCTTTGTGTTGGTCCTGCAGGTTCCTGTACTGGTCCGACTGGGGGGAGCCGGCTAAGATCGAGAAGTCTGGTCTGAACGGAGTGGACCGGAAGGTTCTGGTGGCGACAGACATCCAGTGGCCCAACGGGATCACACTCGGTACGAGCAGAACTGGTTTTTAAAGTCCGTCAGGTGTTCTGGTCCCAGGTTAATGAAATGTTCTGTGGGTCCAGACCTGATCAAAGGCCGGCTGTACTGGGTCGACTCCAAGCTGCACGTCCTGAGCAGCGTGGACCTGAACGGAGACAACAGGAAGAGGGTTCTGCAGTCTGCAGAGGTCCTGGCCCATCCCTTCGCCCTCACCGTCTTCGAGGTCAGACCTAACGTCCGAACGGGTCCTTTCAGCTGCGGCTCCTCGGCTGTGAGTAAAACCTTCATGTCCCGTCTCCTGTCCAGGACCGGGTCTTCTGGACCGACGGTGAGAGCCAGGCCATCTACGGCGCCAACAAGTTCAGTGGTTCTGATGTGGTGACGCTCGCCAACAACCTGAACGACCCGCAGGACGTCATCGTCTACCAYGAGCTGATCCAGCTCTCCGGTAAGAACCGGAAACTACCGGGACCAGCAGGGTGGGAAATGTTGGCTGGGAGCTAAAGACATTAGCACGCAGCTTGTTTTTGTAAGCTGAAGCTGGTGATGTGTTCAGGTACAAACTGGTGCACAGAGAAAGGAGAGAACGGMGGCTGCAGCTTCCTGTGTCTACCTGCTCCACAAATCAACAAACACTCTCCTAAATACACCTGTGTGTGTCCCGACGGTCAGGAGCTAGCAGCCGACGGCTTCCGCTGCCGACCAGGTGAGTCCTGAAGCCACGCCTTTCATCTTCGTTGTTGGTTTGACAGAACCTTCCAGAAATGTAACAAATCAAGACGGTTTGACTGAGGAGCTCTGCTGCCCCCTGCAGGTCCTGTTCTGCTGAATCTAAACAAACAACTAAACAATCTGCATTTCCTGTGAAAATAATGACGGAAATTTTAACTAAAAATGTTTTATAGCAAAACTTGAGTTAAATTAGAGCAGCTGACTTTAGCAGAAATGAGCTGAAATTAGCACAGGTGAGTGGAGAACGATAAAAGCTCACATCAGCTGAAAAACATGACAAGTGGCATTTTGTTGTAAAACAGCTAAAGCAGTCAATTCACAGAAAAATGGCTGAAAAGCAGCTGAAATGACAAAGATGCAGAAAGGTCATGTTTAGTTTCTTACAGCTTAATTCAACAAGGTGAATTTAGATAAGCTAAAGTAGCTAAAAAGCCAGAAAATGGCTGAAATTAGCAAACGGCTAAAGGCATAAAACTAACGCCGACAGTAGCCTAAAGTTTTAGTTTTGTTTTTCAGCTAAAAGATGAAATTGGCAGAAAAATCACACATTTGACATTTTCAGCTTTTTATTAATTCAGCAAAGTGGAACCATTTTCAGCTTTTTTTCATTTATATTCAAAGTAGCTGAAAGTGGAAAACGGCTGAGATTGTCTAAAGTCAGCTAAAAGAAGCTTAAAAAGCAGAAACTAAAAAGCCTAAAAGTTTAAATAAACAGACTGAATGTAGGAGAAAAATGTTTAAAAACAGCTGAAGGAAACAGATTAACTGTTTTTAAACTGTTTTAACTCCAGTTTAAAAATAATGTAACTTTATTTTAAACAGCTGAAGGAAACAGACGTACCTTTATTTTGAAAAGCTGTTTTCTGTGGGTTGAAGTGTTTTTCTCGTTTGGTTTTAGTATAATTAGTGTTAAAATGAAAACTGCAGCTCTTTTCTTCCTGCAGCTAAAAGGTTGCTTAGAAACCTCGTCTGGTCTGGTTCTGGTCGGGTCCGGCTCCTTTCTGTTCTCCTAGATCAGCCTTTTGAACAGAACCTGACAGCTGAGTTCTGCACACAGACACTAATTGGACTCAAACTGCAGACAGAGTCCAGTTTACAGATCAGGCCTCGGCTCCTACATCCTGAGAGGAAAAAGGCTGAAATACAGAAAGGAAAACGGGTCAAGAGTTCTGTTGGGTTCTGTTCTGGGTTTATTGGTTTCCAACCAGAATCAGTTGTTGGTTTGAAAGGAACTGATTCATCAGCTGAACTGTGACAGGCTGTGTGTGGTGGACGAGCTGCAGGACGACTGACAGGACAGTGTCCTCAGTGATGTCCACTAACCTGAGACAGACGGACAGGAAACTGAGTGTAGTCGGTGTGCTGCAGGAGATATCGGCTCCGATGCAGGTCAGAGGCTCATCAAACTGGACTCGGGACAAAACTAGTTGTGAAAGCGAGCCTCGTTAGCTCACAGCTGCTGGGTGATCAACCAGAACGTCTCTGATCTGGTGAGCGTGATGTTCTCTTGCTCTCAGTAAATAAATCAAAGCCATCCATCCATCCATCCATCCATCCATCCATTTTCTTCCGCCTATCCGGGGTCGGGTCGCGGGGGCAGCAGCTTCAGAAGGGAGGCCCAGAC